AATCATTTCATTCGCATTAATCATTCATTCAGTGAGTGAGTATAAAGAACATTTATTAATCATTGGAATTAAAAACAGCAAGTTCACAAATCAAAGAACATAAATACTTATTTACCATTACTACAATGCAATTACTATTATGTAATACCCTTCAAATCATTTCATTCGCATTAATCTTTTATTTAGCTTGTAAGTATAAAGAACATTTATTAATTATTGGAATTTTGAACAGCAAAGCAAGTTCTCAAATCAAGAACATAAATACTTATTTACCATTATCTAATACCCTTTAAATTACTTATTTCATTCGCATTAATCAGTCGGTAAGTATAAAATTATTTACATTCGATTTAACATTTATAATAGCATGGACGATGAAATAAAATACTATATATCATACATATATTATGATCATTTAGTGACACTAAATATGGAAAATGTGCACATTGTAATGAATATAACACGCAACCAGCATGGTGTCTATCATGCGACCCTGATATAGAAACAAGGTGGACAAGTGGAAATAAGAATATTGATGATTTTATGAAATACTTTCAACTTAGAACCTGGGCATATGATAAAGCAATCGAATGGATTCCATTTGATAGATTATCTGATATTAATGAAATTGGTAAAGGGGGATTCGGCTCTGTATTTTCGGCAATCTGGTTAGATGGTATACGAAAAATCGAGGAGATTAAAATTGATAATAGAGACAATAATATAGACGATGATGATGATAATGAAGACAGTGATGACGATGATAGTGATGATAACGAGGACAGTGATAACGATGATAGTGATGATAACGAGGACAGTGATAGCAATGATAGTGATGATAATGAAGACATTGATAACGATTATAGTAATTATAACGAAGACAGTAATAGTAACTATTCCTATAAAAGATTACGAGAACCAAATAGTACCATTGCACTCAAGACCTTATCTGGTTCTTTAAAAGAAGTAAGTCAAATTTACTTAGTAAACAGTTTATTTAATATAATGAACTAACGATCTAATATAATTAATTATAAAGTTTGACAACCATATGACATGTGGTAGATTTGGTAGTAAACTTAAAATATACGGATTAACTCAAAATAGTGAAAATGAATACTTGATGTATTTCAATATGCTGATAATGGAAGCCTTAACAAATTTTTAACGAAAAATATTCGTGATCTTGCATGGAAAACTAAATTGAAACTACTTTTTGATATTTCTAAAGATTTATATAGAATTCATCGAGCAGGATATGTTCATGCAGACTTGCATAGTGGTAATATTTTACAAGATGGAGGAGACATTAGTCAAAATATGCAATCTTACATCTCAGATCTTGGATTGTCCAAAAAAGATGATGAAAATGATTCGGGTAATATTTATGGGGTTATTCCTTATGTAGCACCTGAAGTTTTATCAGGTCAAAAGTTTACAAAAACTGCAGATATTTATGGTTTCGGAGTTATTATGTCACAGATGTCAACTGGCCAAAGGCCTTTTGACGGATACGAATTTAGTGATGAACTTGCAGTAAATATTTGCTGTGGATTGCGGCCAGAATTTGCTCCTGGAACTCCGAATTGTTATATTGAATTTGCTAAACGATGCATGGATTCTAATCCAGAAAAACGGCCTGATGCTGACAATATTTGGGTTAAACTTGAAGAATGGAATAACATTATGGAAAGTTCAGACGATGCAAATGAAATTAAGAAGCAATTTTTAAAAGCAGATAAAATAGCAAAAGAACTGCCAATTGTTTTACCAAAACATTCTGACATTATGTATACTAGCAAAATTATTAATACGCAAAGAATTTCAAATGCAGTCAAAGGTATTTATTTTAAAATTAGATTATTCATTTAAATATTTATTTATTTAAACCTATTGTATTATAATATTAGATGTTCTACCAAGTAAATCTATTAATTATGTTAATTTCTATTGGTAAGTATTATAATTAACTTATAGTATTTATAATTATATAAATTTATTACTTATTTAATTTAATATTTAGATTATTAAAAAAATATATTCAAATGTTATTAAAATAAATTAATAAAATATTATTTTTTATATTTAATATTTATAACAAGAATTATTTTAAAAAACTTATTGATCGTCTGAGTGAATTATTTATCTATGCATAATATGTGATTTTAATTAACAAATCAAAATTCAATTTTAACTTTGTTAATTTTCTTTGTTTATGCATTGTAGAGTACTATTTATATTTAAAATTGAATTGAATTTTTTTATTACACCAGTCAAAAGTTGTTATGCCAGATACAAATAAGATATGCCATATTTAACACTAACAATAACCTGATTGATATTAATTTTTAAATTTAATAGCTTGATTAATAAATGTTATTTTAAACTATACTTTATTAACTATTTGATATCTTTTTTTGCATTTTTTTAAATTTTTTAAAAAAATTTCAATATTGCTTGATCTTTTTGATCTTTTTGTATAAAATATTCTTATTATCCTTTAAGATCTTTTAACAATTTATAAGCTTAACTATTTAATGCTAATAACTTAACATATGTTTTTTACTAATAGTTGATATATTGTATTTATTAAATTTTTGTATATTGTTACTTATAAGACTGAACCTAATGTTTATTTTTTTAATTCTAATTTATCTTTTTTGTTGCATTAACACTTTAGAAGTTTTGTATTTTTACTTATTTTTTTATTTTCATTGTGTTGAGCATTTTTTTCTTAAACATTGTTTTTCATGCAGCTGCTTGTATTTTATTATAAACAATGTTCTATTATTTATTTTATTTCTCTATAGTATTATTTGTATAGCTAGTTTATAGAACAAATATTTAAGATATTGGATGTTAATTTTCTCTTTGAGTTGTTAGTTTAGATCTGTTTTGTAGTCTTCTAGTTCTTTTTAGTTGCTTCATTATATAAATTAATTGTTTTTTGCTAAATATTTCTTTTTAGCTTTGCTGTTCTTAATGTTGTTATCTAATAGATTAAATTTATTATTATTTTATTATTATTATTATTATTATTATTATTATATGATTACTGCTTATGCATATATTCATTCTTGTATTTTTGCATTATATAACTAGTAAATATTTATAATTTAATTTTTAGTTTAACATCTCATATATTTAGCTTTATACAAATTTTAAAAAAATGTTTATAATACACTGGTAGGTGATTATAGAATTAATTTATAAATAATTTTTTTTAATTAACAGCAAATTAATTTGAACTAAATAAATATATTATATTATGTCCATATTTTCAGAGATTAAATTAAATCAAATATGACTGGTTGTAAAGTTGCAATGGGTTTCACTCTTACAATTAATTGCAATATACAAACATATTTTAGTCAATATAACAGATAACGCTATTACTAATTACAACCGAAAGCGAGAAAATGTACTGTAAATGACCAGATACAAGACCCGGATCTGTTACATTCCACCAATTATAAAACGTTTAATAGACACAGGGTATAGTACATGACTGTGAATTAATATCATATAGTATAAACTTTGAAATGCATATACACTTTGCGTTTATAACAGGTAATCTAGATTTTAAAGGAGATCCTGTGATTTGCACCTGGGTATAGTAATAGTGAGTCTATTATCGAAGGTGGCATTTTATTCAACCATTTACGGTAAGTCCATGTCTAAGAACTTAAAATATTATTAACAAGAAGCTAACGAAATAGCTGTGATTCGATACCACTTTCTTCTCAATTTTATGCATGGATAAATCCCCTGAAACTTTTGTTATCATTAAAGCTTAGAGCTTATCATTTGATTCAACATGGAGCATTAAAAAAATTACTTTAGTTTATTATCATTAACAATACAAACGAATAAACAATTTTGACTCAATAGCAGGGTTCTGCATACCCGGCATTTTAGTTCCTGGCACTTTGTACCTGTAACTATTCTCAGTCAGTGCCATAAAGTTTTTTGTTGCACTTTTGTGCCTATAGGTACCCAGAGGCAGGATTACCTGACACAAAATAGTCCAAACTTACGTAAAGACAAATTTACATCATTGTGACCATGGCACAAAAGTCCGGCCTAAACTTGCCTGATGCCTTTGTTATCATAGGCATTGTCACGGCACAAGCCACTGGAGACTAGCATAGTGCCTATGTGCCAGCACGGGCATTTGAAGACCCCTACTCAGTAGGCTTTACTAATTGTATTGTAACTGAGATGGGACACTGCGCAGTATTTCACTGCGTATGCTGCGCAGGCACTTTTTGAGACTACGCAGTGCAATTTTCATAATTCAGGCCAGATGGCATAATTCCGGTCAACTTTATAATCCTGGCTTTAATTAGCCAATCGGAAATCTTCCCTAAGTCTGGTCAAACTTGCAGATCATTTGACCACATTTAAAGTTGATTTGTTCTAGATCTGGCCAAATGATCTGCAAATTTGACCAGAATTATTGACACCGATATGCAGAAAAAAGTGAAAAAAAAACGCAAAAAAAAAACGAAAACTGACGTCTAAATTAACCTTGAGCACCAATTAAAAATGATGGGAGCTCAACTTTACACATATAAAGTAGATATTTTATATATATATAAACGCAAAACCTAATGATCAAAAGTCTCTAGGGATTGAGGCTGCGCAGCCTGCGAGTAGATTCAAAAAATCCACGAATTTCCAATCTCTAATCGTAACCCTAACCACAATTTTAGAAAGCCAAAAATATTAAACTTTATTAATAAACTAGCCATAGCGTATGTAGGTAGTGTCACTAATGATTGTACCACAGTTTATAATAACGATAATTGTTCTTTAATTCTTATTTATCATTACACGATATAATAAACATTAATTAATTTAGACTTTATTTATTTAAAAAACAATGCTTTTAAACAACGTAGATTTATCGTAAGGTATTGCTATCTCATATTTATTTTAAAAAAAAAATTACAGAGAATAATAGTACCACTAACTTTATGATAAATTATAGATTAAGTAATTCTGTTACATATATAAATGTCTTAATAATTAACTTATACCTGCGTTAAATAAATATATATATATATATATATATATATATGTTACAACCAGTGAATGTCCTTAGGTCATATATCTCCAATTTGGATGCCTATCACACAACACCTCATCATACATTGGCTCTTTTTCTACTAATTTCATAGCAATCTCTCTAATCTTTTTACTGTTCTTCAAATCACTATCACTTAACTTATAATTATGATCAGCTAATATAGCCAAATCACGTTTCTTATTTATTAATTCAAAGTAAATTTTCAACCCAATAGTAATAATAGATGCAAAAAGCATTGCAACCAAACAAACGGTATTTCCCATAAGGAATGAAGGAGCATCAGTAGCTGGGAATATTAGAATCCCGATAATTCCTCCAATTTGATCAAAAGTTAATGTTACTGCTATCAACGTGCTTCGTTTGTATTGACCAACTATTTTAAACATTTTAATTATTAATATTAGATCATACTAACAAATTTTTTGACAGATAATAATATTATTGAAAAAAAAGATACTAACCAATATTACAAGTACACCAACTGAAAATTATTGGTAACACACTATACGCACCACATGCCAGAAGAATTGTGAAAAAATATCTCAAGTTGTATAAACTAGGAACATTGGCTTGCGTTGCTATCATTCCTATCAATCCAATGATGGATAACAAATAACCAGTTAATATATTCCAAGATCTTACTTGGTATTTATCAGATATCCAAGAATTAATAATCATAAATATAGTTGAAACAAGAAGTGGTGGAATAGTCATTATTTGAGCTTGAATATCATTAAAACCAAGTTGATAAACTAAAGTAGGAAGGTAGATATTAAGAGCATAAAATGGAATTGAACTAACTAAAAACAATGTCATTTGAGTGTAAGTTAGGAAATCAGTGAAGACAAGTTTTATTTGAGCTTTGGCGATGCTACGATCAACTTGATTTGGACCTCCTTCTGATTTTAATCGTTCAACAGCGAATTCACGTTCCTCAGGTGTAAGGAAACGGGCGTTCCCGGGACCACGAGACAAAACTAGGGCAATAATTAAGGCCAAAAGGATAGTTGGAATATTTTCAATTATGAATAACCATTGAAAACCAGCTAATGAAGTCCCTGATATTTGGACTATAAAATATGACTGACAAATTAATGGATAATGTATTAATATGTATTAATGAATCTATTTAATGTATTATCAATTGTAGTCGACTATTTTAGAACTTGAAAACTTACTGCAAATCCACTAAAAGCACCACCAATAGTGATCAAAGCCATAAAGATGGAATATCTTAAGGTTACTTCTTTTTTGGAATAAAATAAACCAACATATCCCACTATGGATGGAGGATATCCTGCTTCAAATGTTCCTGTATTAATATAACAATCAAAAGTGAAATGAATTTGTTAATTTGTCGTAACAGGTAATGATAATGTATTGCTACTCCCAGTCGACCAACTAGTATTCAGAAATAAGTATAATGTGAAATCGAAACAATTATGATCTTTTTAGTAAATCGGTTGCCTGTAAATAAACTAGCACATTATGATTTATAAACCTGCGCGTGATGATTTATAAACCTTCATGTAATGATTTGTATGATAATTTATAAATTAGCGCGTAATAATTTATAAATTGACACGTCATAGTTTATTGTAATAATTTACAAACCAGCGCGTCATGGTTTATAAACTAACGCGTTATAGTTTATAGACTAGCGCGTTACGGTTTATAGACTAGCGCGTTATGATTTATTGATCTGATTTCATTCATAACACATTATCTTCTAAATGACGAAATCCATATGTACGTGAAATAACAAGTTGTATAATTATATAGCAATTTCCTCCAATCGACCAAGATTTGCAAAGTGTAACATGAAGACTTTGTAATTTTAGTTAAAATTATGCTATAGGTGTGAACGGATTTATTTTTATGCTAAATTGGTTTTAACCGATTTATGAATATGAAAACAAATCCGAACTACATCTCTATTAAACTTCAGCAGTTTATTATTTTAATTTCATGTTATATTAAGATATATACTAATATGATATTTACCTAATAAAAATCTAACAATGCCTAATTGAGTCGCGGTTTTACATGCAGCTTGACACATAGACATCGCAGCCCAACATACCATTATAATTGGCATCCAAACATTGAATCCTAAAATTCTTGTCACCCAGTTTGAAGGGATTTCAAATATTATATAACCGATGAAATGAGCTGACATTGCAAGAGTAAACAAAAATGGAGTGGTCTTAAGGTAATTGTAGTCGAAGCCAGCTACGATGGCATTCCCTATATTTGAAAGATCGACGATTCCCAGCAAGTATGTTGCAGCCAATATTGCTAATCAAGAAATTAATTTTGATAAGAAATACGAGTGGAAGTGTAATTATATGAAGATTATAATATAAAAGTCAACTATATTTGAAACATACGTAGTACATAAATATCACATTTTCTGACAATTCTTTTCTCCAAAATCTTGTAATTTTCGTTTTCTGGATCATATGATTCATTTGATTCATTTTCGCGTTTGTCTTCAATCGGCATTTTTTTGATTAAATATTTATGCTTGACAATTGTGAAAAATTCTTTTTTTTTTTTTTTTCTTTAAAAAAATTATATTATTTGTATAAAATATTAAGCATATCATTCAAAGAAAGAACAATCTTTCTAAAAATTGTTTTCTTGTTGTTCATCGAGTATTTATTATGAAATTGGACCTAATATAATTCTTTCACACATAGCAACATAATCAAACAAAATCAAGCAAGGTAATCACTTAGTAATCTAATATTGATGCATCGTACCTTGAGTAAATCTTAACGTTAATTCAAGAAGAAATTACTAAATTTAGAAATTCAATTTCCAAAAAAGAAATTTAATTTATGTTGTTTAACATAAATATTATTTTAGAATAACATAATTACGATGCCATAATTTAGTAGTGGCTTATATAATGTAAATAAATAAAGGTTACAAAACCTAGATATTAACGCAAGTCTAGATTGATTATATAACAGTAATATAATTCAATTGGTCCTTTCACTACTAACAATTGAATTTACTAAAACAGTGTGTGAATTTTATGCGCAAATTTAAGGGATCAATGAAATTTGTATGCGCAAATTTAAGGGATCTGATCTAAACTTTAATACCTAACCCTAACGTACAACACTAACATACAACTAGTGTTCGCAAACAGGAACCCAAATTGGAACCGCAGGGATGTTTAACATTCCGCTATCAAGCAATTGGGTAATGATAGAATGTGACTTAATTATTATCCAATTGCTTGACGACGGAATGTTAAAAATCTCTTGCGGTTCCCCGTTTGCGGAACTCTACGTACAACACTAACGTACTGTACGTAGGTAATATATATAACAGATAAAGATTTTGTACGTTTACGTTTTTTGATTATGTATGTACTGTACATACGTATGTTCCATTATGCAAATCTATTTATTTATGTAGTATTACGTAGTAGTTGTAGTAGGTACGTGCGTAGTTTAAATTTCCTTATAGTCTCTTTACAATAACTTTAACGTTAGTGTTAGTATTACATATGTATCTTACATAAATTCGATTGTGTGACATATACAAAAAAATGTACCAATTATCGTTGCCTCATTAAGAATGGGTTGACAAACAACTAAGACCAACTGAGACAGAATCATGTGCAATAATTGAAAAGTTATCAAAGGATATAATTTGAATTACTGATTTTGATTCAACTCCAAAAAGATCATTGACTTTTTCTTTCAAGCGGCGACATTTTAATTGAAACTCAACCAATGAAATTTGTCGGATGCCCGAAAAAATTCCCGACCACTTAAATTATGCGGAATTTTGTCATAATAAAACGGAAATTCCGATGTTTTACAATGGATTTCGTGCATTTATTATTGATATGCATGTAGGTAATGTTGTTATAAACGATGGTTGTCGTAAGGGCTCAATTAATTAATATATCCGCACGTACATACATAATACTGTAACTTTGCTAATCATGTGAGTTATACGTACCGGCAAAAATTTTTTTTACGTAATTTTATATAATGTTATGTAATTTGCCTAAGTTAAATTGGATAAATCGAAAAATATTGATCACATGATAGAACATTATAAAACTCTGGTTGAAATGCTATAATTCTGTAATTAAAATAAACTAGGTAGATTTTATAAATACTAATAAACAAAAATTCTTTGATTATTATAAATGTCTTCAAGAAACCATTTGTCATCTGGCTTTCAATTATCTTTTGTACCAGACACAATCTCTAACAAATTAAACTGATTGTGTCGGTACAAATTATAATTGAAACCCCAATGATAGATTTCCCTTGACGACGCTAATATAATTCAAAATATTTGCAATGACCATTTTTTTAAATATTGTAAGTGCTTCATCTTTTTTTTTTACTTAGAATGCTTTAAATATAACTATTCTATTTGAAGTATTCAATATAAAAAATATTAAATATTCACAAATCAAAAAAAAGAACAAAAGTTTAGCATTATAAATTAAGATCATCTTAGTATATGTAATGTTATATATTTTATTTATTATACTATATATAGATAATCGTATGAACCGTGTGTTAATACATACTTGTAATTAGAAATGTAATTAAAATGCTGAATTAAAATGCATTAATATTATTTTAGTGCATGATAATTAACCGTTAAAGTAAGCTATAAAAAAAATCAATCAAACAGTCAAAAAAATAAGACTTATAGTCCTGAACATTATATGCCTTGGGGCATTACTTCGAGATAATATGTTAAGTAGAATATAATTATGAAATCCACAAGGCTACAAGGTAATCGATATATGATAAATTACAGATAGATCTTTAAAAATTCCTTGAGTATAAAAGGTATAATAGGCTACTAACAAACATAGTATGGTACAATTTCCTATAATAAAACTCAAATGTTTGTCAAACGTATATTGTAAATTTTTGTAAATTATATAATCTTGACGAAAATGACTAAGTAATGACTAAGCATGCTTATGTCATCACCACGTAAACCAATATAACCCAGCATAACTGATACCCAAGATACCATATCCGACATCTTGCTGTTAAATACCCGGCGTCTAAACCAGCTTTTCTAAAAAAAGCCGGGTGTATCCTGATTTTGTTAGGGAGAGAGATTAGATATACAATATTATCATTGCCACACCCCTATTATGGCGCAATTTGGTATATACTTGTATGAACTTTATTTTATAAATTACGTAAATACCTACATACATGCGTACTTACGCACATCTAAAGTTGCAGGTGAAATTGGTGAAAATTTGGAGAAGATTGGTGAAACCAGTGAAACTAATTATTACAGTCATCACTATTAGAGAAATCTGTATTAAACTCAAAAAAAGACTAGTTTCATCTTTAATTATAATTAATTATATCATTGACATACATACGTACGTACTTGCGAGAAAAAATCAACTCTAGTATAAAAGTCTAACATGTGAATAAAAATTATATGTTTATTAAAAAAAAAATTTATTAATTATTGAAAATTTTTTCATAACAGTTTTCTAAACATCAGCGCATGTATGCAAATTTCTGTTAACAATGAGTTATTCTTCTCCAAATTAAATAAAATTAAATGCTTTTTTATTGTTTTTATTACTAGTTTTGTCGCTCATTTGCTAGCCCATATGTCGTCACCTTTGGCTAATAGTGATGATGTTATCGAGAGTGAAGAATTAACCTTTAATAGCATGGTCTATGATTATGACTGGTCTTCAACTTCACTTGGTCCTATGGACACATGGGATCCTGCACTCAAAAATGTTACGGTAATTTGTACACATCCATTTTTTTTTTTTTTTAAAAAAAAAAAATCATTAACCTTTCTCTTAATGTTAGAATTTAATCCTTAAAATTGAATTTCCTATCTGTATCTTTATTCGTGCCTCTGACTGGCTACTATTCTATAATAAAGGTAAATGTCTTTCTATTTGATTATCTTAACATCAAACTTCTAACCTTATTTGTTCATAGCGTTTATACCAACATTAAAGCAACAACATCCATCCGGTAAGCCCAAAAAAAAATTCTTCTTATATCTTTAAAATGAACATTGCTAACCTAACTTATCATCCTTATAAAAAATATTAAACAGCATTCGGAAGTAAAGTTAAAGATATTTGGCCTGGACATTTTGAGAATCGTATGATTTTAGAATTTAATAAGTAAGAATTATTTTTTTTTTAGGATATTTTAAATATTTCATTTTAAATATAGTATTAAATTTTTCGTAATATTTATAGCATAATAGAAACCGGAAAAGGTGTACTTGGACGTGATGAACGCGTAGAAATTCAACGTGATGGATATATAGAAGAAACATATTTTTACAATACGTTTAGCCCGATTTTTAATTCAGATGGCACAATCTGTGCTTTATTATGTTTGGCACAAGAAACTACTCAATGTATGATAGGTGTTCGAAGATTAAAAACACTTGACGAATTCGGTCATCATATTTCTTGTTAGTACCAATAAATATTTATACTTATTATATTATTATTGTTGTTATTATTGTTATTTATGATTTACAATTTTAACATGCTTGTACTTTCATATTATTTTTCAAAGCAATTGAGTCCTTAGAAAGCGCCTGTCATATTATAACAAAAGTATTAAGTAACAGCAATGATATTCCTTATACATTCATTTACTTCATCGAACATCAATCAAATTCTAGTTTGGAATCTTTGACTGCTCATCTAATTGCCACAACCTTTGATGATGATGATAAAAAAGGACGACATATTCCTGAACATTTACCTGAAACTCCCGAAATATTTGATTTAGCTAAAGATGCTAATAATATCTATGATACTTATATAGAACTAAATCGAAATTCTTCAACTTATTCTTTTTTAAAATGTGAATCTTGGCCAATATACCTTGTAATGAAGGAAAATAATTATATAAAAGTTATTTTGAAAGATGAATCTCAAGCTATACTCTTTCCGATAAAAATTTTATTTGATCAAGGACAAGTTTTGTCGGTTGTATTAATTTATGGTATTAGTCGACTTTGCTCACTTGATGAACGGTATATTGAATTTTTTAATGTATGCAAGAACTCACATTTAATTAATTTCGTTATACTTATTATAAAATACTTTTATTATAAAATACTTAAAATATTTTATAATTTTCTTTTTTTAGTTAGTTACAAATCAAATAAATGAATTTTTGCAACATGGAAAATTATTTGAAGAGGAAAAGAAGCGAACTAAAATGTTGACTGATTTAAATTGCAAAAAGATTACATTTCTTCAAGGAATCAGTCATGAACTAAAAAGTAATATCATAGAATATTCTCTTAAAAATATATTCTATAATATGATATAAGTAAGCTCAACTCTTTTTTTCTTATTTATTATTAGCACCATTAACTCTAATGCTTTCGCCACTTGATGATGTAATTAATACAATTAATACATGCCCGCAAGAGATTTCATTAATGTCGCATCTTCAAATTATACGACGTAACGCTCATCGATTACTTAA